AATTAGCATAATAATTCATAATTTTTTGGTTCTAATCACATTTCAATTAAACTTGGTACATAGAGTTTTTGTTACATTGCGCAGACCTCATTAGTTTTACAATCAAATCTGTTCATGTTAATTTTCTGATTTGCATAATTAGTTTTCAGCTAAGTAATTTCAAATTATATTTAATGTGTCTCCAATACTCTCAGCACATGGGAGTTCTTTCTAAGCTTTCTTTGATTTATTAGCTCCGCTGTCAACTTTGTTGAGCGGCGCTTATAATATGAGCGATTGTCCGTCGTATTCAACTTTTTACTTTTTTGACTTCTTCTTGAAAACTACAAGCCTGAATGCTTTGATACTTGTACCTTGGGTACCCCTCTCTTAGATTTGTTCATTTCATGATGTTTCCTTTAATTCTCTAATTTTGGTGAATATTTTTGGTGAAAAGGGATATTTTCGACTTCTTGTTAAAAACCACAAGTCTGGTTGCTTTGATATTACTTCAGGTAGACCTCTCTCAGATTTGTTCATTTTGTGATGATATCTTCAATTCTCTAATTTTGATGAATATTTTTTGTTATTTTTGATATAAAGTGATATTTTCATTCTTGTTGAAAACAGCAAGTCTGATTGCTTTGACACTATTCATTTTCTAATGATATCTTCAGTTCATTAATTGAAATGTGCATTGCTAACAGCGGAGCTATCTCAGCCGACAGGCTACTTGTTTCAGTTGCATGAAATTGTTTCACCTTTTGTATGGAATGTCTAGTGTTATGATAGTTATGTAACAGGGACTGTGTATTTTTAATGACTTGTTCTTTCATTTGTAGTCATTTGTCATGAGAAAACATTTCTTCAATGATGAGGAAAAGGGATTCTTCAAAACACAGAAGAGACAAGGACAGGTAAAGAACCCTATGACAGGTAGGTTCTGTATTTCTCTTTATGTTTACAAGTTAGTGATAGTGTAACTAGTGGTTTTTGTAGTGCTCAGTAAATCAGTACATTTGTAATTTATTGGTAAATCAGTGCTTATCTAATCTGACTTCTTAAATGCCTCAACAAACCTGGCCCATACACTCAACAAGCCAATCCCATGTTTCCTGGCACATGCTAGAAAAGTTAGATTGTTATGGTGAGTGTGTGAGCCAGGTTTGTTGATTGTACATCAACACACTAACCAAGTCAACACCATACGTATTTTCAACAACTGGAGGGTGTTTAAATCAGACACAGGCCCTGAATAAAAGGTGTTTTATCCTGGTTTTATCAAAAAATCAAGTGTCACAGTTGATTATTAGCTATGTAAAAAAAACCTGCATTGTGTATGCTGCATTATACTTTCATGTATATCTGACTAACATTTGTGTTTACATCCTTGCCAGATCCTTCAATGATGACAGATATGCTGAAGGGCAATGTCACTAATATATTACCTATGATAATGATTGGTGGCTGGATTAACTGGACATTTTCAGGTTTTATTACCAGTGAGTTCATAACATTCATATCACTCTCATATGATAGTATGCATTATCAGAGAATGTGTCTCCCAAAACATGGCATACTATGGCATCTTGCAGTATTCATATTAGAAATATGCTTGTGTTTGTTGATCCACCTCATTAATATTTTACCTAACAGAAGCTTTTATTGTCCCACAGCTAAAGTTCCATTTCCACTGACAATTCGATTCAAGCCTATGCTTCAACGTGGTATTGAATTAGCCTCATTAGATGCTTCATGGGTTAGTTCAGCTAGCTGGTATTTTCTTAATGTGTTTGGACTCAGAAGTATGTACACACTCATCCTTGGAGAAAATAATGGTAACTATTTTACAAATTTTGATTTTGTGTTTCTCCTGATTCATTTGTGTCTCCATAAACTACATGAAGTAATGGGCTGTCTGCTTGCCTGGGCTAGCTGCTTGCCTGGGCTGTCTGCTTGTCTGGGCTATCTGCTTGCCTGGGCTATCTGCTTGCCTGGGCTGTCTGCTTGCCTGGGCTGTCTGCTTGCCTGGGCTGTCTGCTTGCCTGGGCTGTCTGCTTGCCTGGGCTGTCTGCTTGCCTGGGCTGTCTGCTTGCCTGGGCTGTCTGCTTGTCTGGGCTGTCTGCTTGCCTGGGCTGTCTGCTTGCCTGGGCTGGCTGTCTGCCTGCCTGGGCTGTCTGCTTGCCTGCCTGGGCTGTCTGCTTGCCTGGGCTATCTGCTTGCCTGGGCTGTCTGCTTGCCTGGGCTGTCTGCTTGCCTGAGCTATTTGTTGTCTGAGCTGTCTGCTTGCCTGGGCTGTTTCTTGTCTGAGCTGTCTGCTTGCCTGGGCTAATTAGTCCCCGTTTGGACGCAGTCCGAAAATGGGGACTTATGTTTTGACCTCCGTGCGTCTGTGCGTGCGTCCGGACCTGTATCTTAGAAATGCCTGGACCAATCACAATCAAACTTCACACATACATCACACATGATATTATACATATGCACATCAATTTGTTTCACGATCTGATTTAAGATGGCCGAATGGTGGCCATTTTTGTGCTAAAAATCATCAAAATCAAGCATTTCCCAGCTGTTAAAAATGGATTTTGTTCAAACCTTGTATATACGTTGGACATTATAGGACCTTGATGCACAACATGTTGTTTTACGATCTGATTTAAGATGGCCGAATGGTGGCCATTTTTGTGCTAAAAATCATCAAAATCAAGCATTTCCCAGCTGTTAAAAATGGATTTTGTTCAAACCTTGTATATACGTTGGACATTATAGGACCTTGATGCACAACATGTTGTTTTACGATCTGATTTAAGATGGCCGAATGGCATCCATTTTTGTACTGAAAAATCCTAAAAATCCAGCATTTCTCGGCTGTTTACAGATGGATTTTGTTCAAACTTTGTATATACATTAGACATTATGGCCCTTCATGCAAATAATTTTGTTTTTCAGATAAGACTCAAAATGGCCGGCTGGAGGCCATTTTGTTTTAATGAATGTGGTTCTCGTGCCATATCTCTGACTTGTTTTGACTGATTATGTTCAAATTTTAAATATTCATTATACATCATGTCATAGATAAACAGATATATTGGTTCGACGATCAAAAAATCATCAAATATCAAGCATTTCTGGCATTTATGGATGGATTCCAGTCAAACTTGGTACATACATTAGACATTACTGGTTCCTGATGCACGTCATTTTATTTGTCAGATTGGATTCAAAATGGCTGACTGGTGGCCATTTTGTTTTAATGATTGGGCTTCTAGAGCCATGTCTCTTAAATGCTTTGACTGATTATGTTCAAATTTTATATATTCATTATAAATCATGTTATATATATACATGTATTCAAAATGGTTGATTTTGAATGCTGTTCCAGAGCAATACATATGTATCTCTCAATATGGACAAGTACTTGTTTGACGATCAGATACAAATGTCAATCATTTTAATGTTAAAAAATCATATTTCTGACATGGTTATATTCCAGCTATAATTACTATAAACAAAACTATATATCTTAAATTTGATAACTAACAGGGACTGTGCCATGCATGGCTTGTTTCATTAAAACTTGGTATCAGCCATTTGGTTTCTGCAGATGCAAAGAAATGTGTTTATCCTCAGTGTTCCTGTTCAACAAAGTCAGAAAACATAAACCCATGATTGACCTACATATGGCTTTGAACTGATCACATTCATGCATCACGTGTTGGCATTTATGTGCACATCCATTCATTTCATGATTTGATTCATCTAAATTCATCTAAATCAAGCATTTCCACCAGTCCTGAATTAAACTCAGTTGTGAATGAATGGATTTTGTTCTGAGTTTGTGCATACATTGGACAATATTGAACTTCATGCACACTATTATGTTTTTCAGTTTAGATTCAAAATGGCCGAATGGTAGCTATTTCATTTTAATAAATGCTGTTCCACGGTCATACTTGCATGTCTCAAATGTCTTGACAGATCATGGTCAAAGTTTGTGTCAATATCTGCTGTTCATATTCTGGTGCATACTTAACACTTTGCCTGTAACTGTCTGTTATTTATTTGTTATAACAGCTGCTGATCAAGCTCGTATTATGCAGGAGCAGATGTCTGGTTCTGCCATGGCTATGCCTCCAGATCCTTCTAAAGCTTTTAAGGTACACATTATTACAGAATCTTGTAAAACAAGGCTGACACTTGCACGATTCTGTGGCACGCATTGGCACAACTTGAGTCGTACCAGTGCGCAAACTAGTCGTAAACTGGTGTGCCAAGAATTTTGAAATGTTCAAAATTTTGGTCACGTCCAAATTTAGCGACTGAATCGTGTACTATGTGCAAACTGTTCGGGAACTCAACGAGGCGATGCGTGGCAGTGCGTGCCATGCCATGACTGTCACGAACTGCCATACGTCGAGTTCACGAATTGGTGCCTTCCCACTGACATAGTCACGTGTACTTCACGCATTGATGGCACGAGCAATTCACAACTAGTTTACATACTTCAGGAACAGTTTGCGAATGGCACGAGCAGTTCACGACTACTGCACAACAGTTCAGCTCGTGTTGACACAGGAGTATATAGGGCTTCCTGGACACTGCTCCCCTTTCCAGAGATCGCCAGCGAAGAGACAACTTATATCACAGAGACAACATGCCTAAAACAAAGCAAATCCAAAAATGACCAGGAGTTAGGGAGGCCTGTATGAATTGTGCAAATTTGTTGTGCCAATAAGGGAAGTGCGTAAACTATGCGCAAACTGTGCGTGAACTCGTCGTGCCAGTTTGTGTCAATGTGGATACTGATGGGCACGCATTCGTGAACTATTTGTGAACTTGTTGTGAACAGTGCGGGAGCCTCTCAGTTCGTGCCCCAAAATAGCCAAATGTCGTGTAAGTGTCAGCCTTGCTTAACACTAAGTATCAGTTACATCATTTGAGCACCTAAGTAAATTGTTATCACCATCACCCATTTTTGTCATAACATGTAGCCAGTAGATTTACAGTTTACTCTATTAGAATTGCATATATGTACCACAAATTTTTTGTATGAAAATATAAATGACAGAAAGCAACCCTTTTCAGACATCTAACACATAGTTTCTTAGCATCAGTCAAAAGCAGAATGGTGATTACCATATTATTGCATATATAATTATATTCTATGCAATTGATAATGTTTTCTTGTAGGCTGAATGGGAAGCCTTGCAGATTACTGAGCACAATTGGTCATTGCAGAGCATAGAAGAGGAGTTGCTTTCAAACACAGTTGCTCCTGAAGATATCTATGTTAAAGATAAATTTGTTTAATGCAAGAAAACAAATAAATGTTCAAATCTACTTTGTGGCAGTGTGGTTATTAGTCCCCGTTCGGACGCAGTCCGAAAACGGGGACTTATGTTTTGCCCTGTGTGCGTCCGTCCGTGATCACCTGTATCTCGAACATGCATGGACCGATTAAGTTCAAACTTCACTCATACATCACACATTATATGGGACATATGCACATGCATTTTTTTCATGATCCGATTAACGATAGCCGAATAGCGGCCATTTTAAGGCCGAAAATGCCTCAAAATCGCACATTTTCACCATTCCGGACCCGGATCTCAGTTATGCATGGACGG